ATACCATGCAGCTGTTAAAAAAGAGTTCTGCATCTATTATACACACACACACACACACATATATATATATTTTTTATTTGAGATGGAGTCTCGCTCCATCACCCAGGCCGGAGTGCAGTGTCGTGATCTGTGTTCACTGCAACCACCTCCTCCCGGATTCAAGCAATTCTCCTGTCTCAGCCTCCCAAGTAGCTGGGATTACAGGCATGTGCCACCATGCCCAGCCAATTTTTTTTTGTATTATTAGTGGAGACGGGATTTCGTCATGTTGGCCAGCCTGGTCTCGAACTCCTGACCTCAGGTGATCTTCCCGCCTTGACCTCCCAAAATGCTGGGATTACAAGCGTGAGCTACCACACCCGGCCAAGCTTTTATCTTCATTTAAAAAGACAGATACATAAAAAATTATTTATATTTGACTGTATATGGTTTGGAATCTTTAAGCCACATAAAATCAAGAAGTTAGGCTGATGGTCCTTCTTTTGAAAGAGTAAATGAAGAGAGGTCTGCCAATGATGCATCAGAGTACTTAGAGCTTTCTGAGGATCATAATAAGTGAAGCCATTGTTATATATTAGCATTGACTTAGCACTCATGACTTGGTAATACGTGTGTAGGCTGCTTTTGTGTTAATGGTGTTTGTTGTCATTTTTATCACACGTATTTATGAACAACCTACTATGTACCTGGAGTGGAGCTGTAAGCAAGCCAGAAATAGTTCTTGTGCATGGAGCTTATGTCTAGCAGAAAGGAGGACATTTTACAAGTAATAAAGTGTGGCGATGCTGATTTTTTTTTTTTTTTTTCTTTTTTAGCAGGGTCTCACTCTGTCACCCAGGCTTGAGTGCAGTGGCACGATCTTGGCTCACTGCAATCTCTGCCTCCTTGCAGCCTCCACCTCCCGGGTTCAAGCGATTCTCCCACGTCAGCCTCTGGAGTAGCTGGGACTACAGGCGCATGCCATCATGCCTGGCTAATTTTTGTATTTTTAGTAGAGACAGGGTTTCACCATGTTGGCCAGGCTGGTCTTGAACTCCTAGCTTCAGGTGATCCACCCACCTCGGCCTTCCAAAGTGCTGGGAATTTTGTTTGTTTTTTGAGACGGAATCTGGTTCTGTTGCCCAGGCTGGAGTGCAGTGGAGCCATCTCAGCTCACGGCAGCCTCCTCCAGGGTTTTCAAGTGATTCTCCTGCCTCAGTCTCCAGAGTAGCTGGACTATAGGCATGCGCTACCATGCCTGGCTAATTTTTTTATTTTAAGTAGAGACAGTGTTTCACCATGTTGGCCAACTTGGTCTCGAACTCCTGACCTCAAGTGATTCACCCACCTCAGCCCCTCGAAGTGCTGGGATTACAGGCATGAGCTATCACACCTGGCCTCAATGCTGAGTTTTATCAGTCAATCCAAAATGATAACTCAGATGTTATCTGAGTGATAGCATGTGAGCAAAACTCTTTACTTTCTATGAACACACACTTCCATTACCACAGACTAAAACATTCTGCCATCTTAGACATTCCAGTTCTTAAGGATTCCTAATTTAAAAGATTATTGCGTATTTAATTTTTGTAATCTCAATACAAATTGCTTTTAATTTATTCCCAGAAAACTCATTAGTAAATAATTACATTTTAATCTTAATTTGAGATGATTTTATTAATATAAATTAATAAATCATTTTAATTTTTTACAGCCTGTCAGAGTTGTTCAGTATAATATCAATACAGAAGAATTATATTCCTACCTAAAGGAATTCATCCACATACTATATTTCAGGTAAGAGACATTTTGTTTTCTAAGTTTTATGATTAGATAGATTTTCCTAATGCCATAGTGATAATTGGTTGTATTACATCTGAGGCACCCTCCCCAAAAAAATTGACTTCTATTGCCATTTTTGCATGCTTATTTTCAAACTTTTCAAAAATATATTTGAAGACTAGAAAACTGGCAGACTTAAGGAAATATTAAAAATGAAATGTTCATTAATGAAGTGAACTGATAATTAAATTATTCTACATTCATACAGTGAAATACCATGCAGCTGTTAAAAAAGAGTTCTGCATCTGTATGTAGTAGAACAGGAAGGTACTACTTCCTGTGTGTGGTCTGTGGGATATATTCATAAGTGAAATAAGCAAGTTAAAGAACCACATCTATAGAATGAGTATTTCTGTTAAAACATACCCCCATACATTCATAAGAATGAAAAAAATATATAAACGTCTATCAGTGGTAGTTCTGGGTAGTAGGAATATAAGGTTCTTGTATTATGCAGGTTTCACATGTCATAATATTTGGAGCTTTGTGAGCATATACTACTGTAACCTAAAATAAAGAAAATATCACCAGGTGCTGTAGCTCACATCTATAGTACCAGCTACTTGGGAGACTGAGATCAGGGGATGGCTTGAACCCAGGAGGCCGAGGTTGCAGTGAGGTGACATTGCACCTCTTCACTCCAACTTGGGCAACAGAGCCAGATCCTGTCTCAAAAAAAAAAAAAAAAAAAAAAAAAATCTATGTAATGGCTCAAGTTGGTAATCATAGTAGGCTATAATTTTAGGTTTCTGAGATAAGTTAATGAAGTTCCTAGTACATTGCACGGTACGTAGTAAGAGGTCAGAAATGTTATCTTTCTGGGGTAATAAAATGAAGATGTCTTTTTGTGATAAAGTATCTTAAGCTAAGGTAGTACAGTTTCACTATTCTTAACAAATTGTATGACTTACCAAAATGAATAAAAACTTTTACTTATTTTTAAAGCCAAAACTGTCACTTTTCAGGCATCTATTGGTGAATCCCAGAGACCGCCGAGTTGTGATTATCGAGTCGGTATTATGTCCTTCTCACTTCAGAGAGACACTCACTCGTGTTCTTTTCAAATATTTTGAGGTACCTGTCTTTATGTCAAATAAGTAAATTGCTTTTGAAATAAAAAGAGAAGCAGTAAAAGTCTTACTAGTTTTTAGGGAATCTTTCTTCCCTTTTTTTTTGTTGGTAGGTACTCAAAACTTAAACTAATAAAAGCCCTCATATTTTGTCTCTTTTATTTTACATGTCACACAGTGTAGTTGGGGAACCAGATGACAGAAGATTCTTCAAATTGGCTATTTATTTTCTTCCTTTGTGTGGTTATTTCATGCTTTAGCATTTCATCCAACACTTACATAATTGGAGATTTCTTTTTATTACTGTTTGTTATTTATTTTAATGTAGGTTTTTCTATTTGGGGACTTTTTTTCAGAATTAAAAGGTATATTCTGTGCTGTGGACTTTGTGATGTGTTTCTTCCAGATCTTTCTAGCTTCCAATGTTTAGTTATACTGTTCTGAATTTTGTCATTTTAGGCTTCAAATTCCTTTGAAATGGAATATTCAGTGTCTCCTTTTGAGTAAGACGGTAATGCCAGGGATGAGACTTACCTCATGATATAAGTAGTATTACCTGTAGCTTTGATTTTATAGGAGTCGAGATTATTTTATGACCAAGAATATGTTTTAAGATTAGTATATTTCATAGACCAGAATCTTAATTATTCAAATTTTTTTTAATCTCTGCCTTGAAATTTAGGTTTTATCAGCAAGGGAAAATGAAAGATTATATGTGTTAAGTATATAAGAAATTAAGCACATATAAATGTATTTTCATACATTCTACTGAATTCAAAACGTACCTAATACCAAAAATCACAATGTCTTTATGAGGTAAAGGCACTTAATATTTCTAAGTTGTATTTTTGTAAAGCAGGTACAGGGAATCAGGTTGCATAGCCTCCAGTACTTACTGATGTCATGAGTCCAGGAATTTCATTTGCAGTAGGGAGAACATAAAGCAAAACAAGAAGTTGTGTCAGCTGTTATCTGAATAAAGTGGAATATTCTCTGTATTTATAATTAGAGTTTGTGTTAATATCCTTATCTTCTATATGACTGGAATACCTGCTTTATCTATTTAGATAAGGGAAATATAGCCATTATTTTGTCTGCCATTCAATTATGATGGACTCTCATATTTTGATTGAATATCTAGTATTTGGGATGCGACCAGATCTGGCAAATTCTTACCGAAAAAAATGTCGCACAGAGCCAACTATTTGTATATTTTGTTCTTTGGTTTAACTTTAACTGCCAATTATAGTTCAATTAGCCAGACGTGGTGGCATGCATCTATAGTCCCAGCTACTCAGGAGACTAAGGTGGGAGGATTGCTTGAGCCCAGGAGTTCGAGGCTGCAGTGAGCTGTGATTGCACCACTGCACTCAGCCTGGGCAATGGAGCAAGACTTTGTCTCTAAGAAAAAAATAAAAATTTAAATAAAAAAGAAAAAGTAAAAATATGTAGTTTATATTACAAACTTTGCAAATAAAGACAATAAAGAATTTTTTTCTCTATTTTCATCTTAATGGTAAGGGCATCTCTCTATTTTTTTAATTTAGCATCTTCCTCTAAATTTATGTTTCTAGAACTCTTCTTTCTCTCTCTCTTTTTTTTTTTTTGAGACAGAGTCTTGCTTTATTGCCCAGGCTGAAGTGCAATGGTGTGATCTCAGCTCACTGCAACCTCCGCTTCCTGGGTTCAAGCAATTCTCCTGCCTCAGTCTCCCTAGTAGCTGAGATTACAGGCAGATACCATGACACCCAGCTCATTTTTGTATTTTTAGTAGAGACGAGATTTCACCATATTGGTCAGGCTGGTTTCAAACTCCTGACCTCAGGTGATCCACCCGCCTCAGCCTCCCAAAGTGCTGAAATTATAGGCATGAGCCTCTGCGCCCGACCTCTAGACCTCTTCTTTTATCCCTTTCAATTTTCCCTTCCAAAAGAGGACAAGAATGAAGAAAAATGCCTCTTAATTGTCATTTTGGAATGAAACAGTTGAGCTGTTTTTATTACAGTGTTATTTTGGTTATTGAGTGAATTTATATAAATCAACAAACTAGTTCTTAATTACTCTCATAAGATGGTGGAGTAGGTATCACCATATAAGTTAATATAATGTTCCTGTGAATTTTTTCAATATATTTGAATATAAGGCAAATACCTTCAAATAATGACACTCATTCTGATTTTGTTGTTTTGATTTCATTATTTTCTAGGTTCCATCTGTCTTGCTTGCTCCAAGTCATCTGATGGCTCTTCTGACGCTTGGAATTAATTCTGCCATGGTCCTAGATTGTGGATATAGGGAAAGCCTGGTGTTACCCATATCTTTTTTGTCATCCAGCCAACTTTGGAGTTCTTACTTTACTTTAACTAAAATAATTAGGCTAATTACAAATGATTTGTATTGTACTGAACTATTTTGGGTTACTATGTACAAATATGAATTTCAATGTGGAAAAAGTTCACAGGATTGTAAGACTTAAATTTACTTTTTGTAGAAGTTACTATCATTTGGTCCCAGGATATACTCCAGGAGTATACCTCATGAATATTACGTTCAGTTTTTAAAAGAAAAATCAGGATGTGTCAAGTTGACTAGGATAGTCAAGTTTTAAGAAAAAAATCATACAAAGGGTAATTCGAGAAACTGAAATGAGAACATTCAATCCAGAAAGATTTCAGTAGCTGAAGAGCTCTCTGGCGCCTGTAGTCCCAGCTACTCCGGAGGCTGAGGCAGGAGAATGACATGAACCCGGGAGGTGGAGCTTGCAGTGAGCCGAGATCGCTGCTGCACTCCATCCTGGGCGACAGAGCGAGACTCCGCCTCAAAAAAAAAAAAAAAGAAAAATGTATTTTTCTTTTCTTTTCTTTTTTTTTTTTTTAAATCTCCATTGGCTATCATGAAGGCAGTGTGCCTTAGTGTTTACAAGCTTGGGTTTTAGAATCAAGTACACAATAAGTGCAAATCTCCAGTTATGCTTCTTACTACTTTGTCAGGTAGCTTAATCTCTTTGGGCCTCAGTTTCTTTATCCATAAATTGGGGATTATAATATTTCCATCTCATAGAAGAGTTGTGTTAGTTAAGTGACGTAATATATATAAAGTGTTTAGTATACATAGGATTTGGCACAAGTAATTTTCTTAGTACGTGCTGTGGTTTTTATGTCATTGACCATAGGTCGGAACTTACTAATAATTCAGGCTATCCCAGAATGGAATTACTGACCATATAAACTAGTACATTTCTTTCCATTATAAATATTTAAGCGGAGTATAGATAAGCATCTCTTAGAATTGTCCTAGTGGACATTGCTTTATTGTAAAGGATGTTGATGTGCATGAATGTAAGACTCTTGCAATTTTGAGATCTACATGTATATTTATTAGAAAAAATATTCATGGAAGGAAATTAAGAATCATTAACTTCTAAGGAATTTAATCAAGCAGTAGTGTTTTTTAGTATAAAGTATTTTGTGTTTAATTCTTAACCGTGCAACATGAGTAGTAGTATTCTCATTATATAAATGATAATATTGAGAGTTGGGATGGGTAGTTGACTCCTCTTTTTATGAACATGTAGCTAGGATATAAACCCATGTCTGTTTCCAAAGCTGATGCTCTTACCAATATACTTAGCAAACACACAGTAAATATTGTTTACTTCCCTCGGCTCTGTCCTGTAGAAATATAATGTGAGCCATGTATGTAATTTAGAGTGTTCTAGGCTGGGCGCCATGGCTCACACATGTAATACTAGCACCTTGGGAGGCTGAAGTGGGCAGATCACCTGAGGCCAAGAGTTTGAGACCAGCCTGGCCAACTGGTCAAAACCCCATCTCTACGAAAAATACAAAAATTAGCCGGCTGTGGTGGCACATGCCTGTAATCCCAACTACTTGGGAGACTGAGGCACAAGAATCACTTGAACCTGGGAGGTGGAGGTTGTACTGAGCCGAGATCGCACCACTGTACTCCAGCCTGGGCTACAGAGCGAGACCCTGTCTCAAAAAAAAGTAAACAGAATTTTCTAAGAGCCACATTTTAAAAGGCACAAGAAAACATGAAATTAATAGTATATTTTATTTAACCCAATATATTCAAAATACTCCAGTATTCCATCAATACAAAAATTATAATGAGGTATTTTAGTGGGGTTTTTTGGTATTAAAACCTTCTAAATTTGGCATGTAGTTTAGTCTTAGAGCACATCTCAATTCAGACTAGCCATATTTCACATATTAAGTAGCTACATAGGCCTAGTGGCTACTTTTATCAGATGCCCCAGCCGTAGCTAATGAATTGTGTGTGGTCATGTGCATATGCGTATTTTTATTCTGTTTTCTTTGATGAAGAATATGAAAAAAAACTTACTCTTTGATTTTTCCGTAACTGTGTTAAAAATAAGAAATAAAAATTTGTCACTAAAGCATATTTAGAACAATACTGCAGAAGGTGAGGAAAATATCAAGGAAACCACATTTTATCTCCTAAAATAGTAGTATCCTTGACTACTCTATAGATATATGAAGGAATCCCAGTTCTAAATTGTTGGGGAGCACTACCCCTAGGAGGAAAAGCTCTTCACAAGTAAGTTTCTTGGAATTTAACATATTCATTTCACCTGTGTCACAAAAACAGTTGCTAATCTGTTTGTTGATCAGTGATCAATAGAGGGCTTGTGATAAATGGACAGTGAATTTTATTTATTCCACCCTCTATTAGCTTCAAGTATATTGATTTTTAAAGAATAAGCCAGTTTTTTTAATTTTTAATTTTTTGGGTACATAGTAGGTGTATATATTTATGAGGTACATGGGATGTTTTGATATAGGCATGCAATGGGAAATAAGCACATCATGGAGAATGGGGTATCCATCCCGTCAAGCATTTATCCTTTGAGTTACAATCTAATTACACTCTTTGCATGATTTTAAAATGTACAGTTAAGTTACTGTCTATAGTCACCCTGTCGTGCTATCAAATAGTAGGTCTTATTGTTTCTATTTTTTTGTACCCATTAATTAACCTCACCTCTCATTTATCCCTCCACTATCCTCCCTGGCCTCTGGTAGCCATCCTTCTACTCTCTATGTCCATGAGTTCCATTGTTTTGCTGTTTAGATCCCACAAATAAGTGAGAACATATAATATTGGTCTTTCTGTGCATGGCTTATTTCACTTAACATAATGATCTACAGTTCCATCAGTGTTGTTGCAGATGACTGGATCTCATTCCTTTTTATAGCTGAATAGTACTCCATTGTGTATATTTTTTTATTTTTTTATTTTTTTAACTTTTATTAAGTTTAGAGGTACATGTGCAGGTTTATTACATAGGTAAACTTATGTCTTGGGGAAGACCTTTATTATTATTACTATTATTGAGATGGAGTCTCGCTGTGTCACCCAGGCTGGAGTGCAGAGGCGTGATCTCAGCTCACTGCAACCTCTGCTGCCTGGGTTCAAGCGATTCTCCTGCCTCAGCCTCCCAAGTAGCTGGGACTACAGGCGCGCGCGACCACGCCTGGCTAATTTTTGTATTTTTAGTAGAGAGAGGGTTTCACCATGTTGGCCAGGCTGTTCTCAAACTCCTGATCTCAGGTGATCCACCCGCCTCGGCCTCCCAGAGTGCTGGGATTACAGGCATGAGCCACCATGCCTAGCAAGAAGATCATTCTTATTTAAATCATAATAATTGGGCTGGGTGTGGTCCCAGCACTCTGGGAGGCCGAGGCAGGTGGATCACCTGAGGTCAGGAGTTTGAGACCAGCCTGGCCAACATGGCAAAACCCTATCTCTACTAAAAATACAAAAATTAGCTGGGCATGGTGGCGGGTACCTGTAATCCCAGCTACTCGGGAAGCTGAGGCAGGAGAATCACTTGAACCCAGGAGGTGGAGGTTGCAGTGAACCAGGATTGCGCCACTTAACTCCAGCCTGGGTGACAGAGTGAGACTCTGTCTCAAAAAAAAAAAAAGCATAATAATTTATTATGTAGTTAAAAGTATGAAATAAGAAAAGGATATCAGTTTCAATATTTTAATTCCAGTAACATTTTTTTTTTTTAATTTCAGAGAGTTGGAAACTCAACTATTGGAACAATGTACTGTTGACACAAGTGCTGCTAAAGAACAGAGCCTTCCCTCAGTGATGGGTAAATTCATTTTAATTGGTTTAGGAGTGATTTACACTCTATTTTTATTTCTTCAACTTATATTTTAGTCTTTGCTCCATTGCATGATTATTCTGTTTTCTCCCCATGCCTCTCTGATGGCACTGCTTCAACTATAAGCTCATTGAACTTTTAATCACCAAATTCAATAGTTTGATTTTAGTCATCCTGTCCAGAACTTTTGACACTGTGGATCATCATGTACTCTTGAATGCTTTCTTCTCCTTGGCTTTCAGGATTCTTTTTTTTAGTAGTTGTCTATTACTTCCCCAAATATTCCTCTGGCTTCCTCTGCTCTTGCTTTCTCTACTGGTATTCCACTAGGGATCTAGTGTTTGTTCCTTCTTTTTCTCTGCTGACTTTTTAAATGTGATCTTACCTACTCCCACAACTTCTACATCTGCATGCTGTTGATTCTCAAATGTGTCACTGGGCCTGATCCTTCTTCTGAACTTGATATTCATATTTCCAACTGATTATTAGAGACTGTGTATGTCTCTAGGCACTTCAAACTTAAGATTTCCAAAAGTGAACACATTATGTCTTTCCTCAAATTCATTTCAATTATTAGATAAAGATAATAACATCTTCCTTGTCTCCCATTTTACAAAACTTTAAGTTATTATAGCCTTTCAGTTCTTCAGAAATCTCAGATCTCATTTTTCTTTTTTTTTGACCTTCCACACCATTGAACACCTGAGAGCAAATACATTGTTTTAATCTAGGCCCTCATTTCTTGCTTAGATTATTACAGAAGCCTACTCTGTGGATGGATTCAGTCTATTTCACACTGTTGCCAGGAATAACTTTCCACAAAATTTTTTTTTTTTTTTTTTTAAGTTCCAGGGTACATGAGCATAACGTGCAGTTTGTTACATATGTATACTTGTGCCATGTTGGTGTGCTGCACCCATCAACTTGTCAGCACCCATCAACTCGTCATTTACATCAGGTATAACTCCCAATGCAATCCCTTCCCCCTCCCCCCTCCCCATGATAGGCCCCGGTGTGTGATGTTCCCCTTTCCGAGTCCAAGTGATCTCATTGTTCAGTTCCCACCTATAAGTGAGAACATGCGGTGTTTGGTTTTCTGTTCTTGTGATAGTTTGCTAAGAATGATGGTTTCCAGCTGCATCCATGTCCCTACAAAGGACACAAACTCATCCTTTTTTATGGCTGCATAGTATTCCATGGTGTATATGTGCCACATTTTCTTAATCCAGTCTGTCAGTGATGGACATTTGGGTTGATTCCAAGTCTTTGCTATTGTGAATAGTGCCGCAATAAACATACGTGTGCATGTGTCTTTATAGCAGCATGATTTATAATCCTTTGGGTATATACCCAGTAATGGGATGGCTGGGTCATATGGTACATCTAGTTCTAGATCCTTGAGGAATCGCCATACTGTTTACCATAATGGTTGAACTAGTTTACAATCCCACCAACAGTGTAAAAGTGTTCCTATTTCTCCACATCCTCTCCAGCACCTGTTGTTTCCTGACTTTTTAATGATTGCCATTCTAACTGGTGTGAGATGGTATCTCATTGTGGTTTTGATTTGCATTTCTCTGATGGCCAGTGATGATGAGCATTTTTTTTGTGTCTGTTGGCTGTATGAATGTCTTCTTTTGAGAAATGTCTGTTCATATCCTTTGCCCACTTTTTGATGGGGTTGTTTGTTTTTTTCTTGTAAATTTGTTTGAGTTCTTTGTAGGTTCTGGATATTAGCCCTTTGTCAGATGAGTAGATTGCAAAAATTTTCTCCCATTCTGTAGGTTGCCTGTTCACTCTGATGGTAGTTTCTTTTGCTGTGCAGAAGCTCTTTAGTTTAATTAGATCCCATTTGTCAATTTTGGCTTTTGCTGCCGTTGCTTTTGGTGTTTTAGACATGAAGTCTTTGCCCATGCCTATGTCCTGAATGGTACTACCTAGGTTTTCTTCTAGGGTTTTTATGGTATTAGGTCTAACATTTAAGTCTCTAATCCATCTTGAATTAATTTTCGTATAAGGAGTAAGGAAAGGATCCAGTTTCAGCTTTCTACTTATGGCTAGCCAATTTTCCCAGCACCATTTATTAAATAGGGAATCCTTTCCCCATTTCTTGTTTTTGCAGGTTTGTCAAAGATCAGATGGCTGTAGATGTGTGGTATTATTTCTGAGGACTCTGTTCTGTTCCATTGGTCTATATCTCTGTTTTGGTACCAGTACCATGCTGTTTTGGTTACTGTAGCCTTGTAGTATAGTTTGAAGTCAGGTAGCGTGATGCCTCCAGCTTTGTTCTTTTGACTTAGGATTGTCTTGGCAATACGGGGTCTTTTTTGGTTCCATATGAACTTTAAAGCAGTTTTTTCCAATTCTGTGAAGAAAGTCATTGGTAGCTTGATGGGGATGGCATTGAATCTATAAATAACCTTGGGCAGTATGGCCATTTTCACGATATTGATTCTTCCTATCCATGAGCATGGTATGTTCTTCCATTTGTTTGTGTCCTTTTTTATTTCACTGAGCAGTGGTTTGTAGTTCTCCTTGAAGAGGTCCTTTACATCCCTTGTAAGTTGGATTCCTAGGTATTTTATTCTCTTTGAAGCAGTTGTGAATGGAAGTTCATTCATGATTTGGCTCTCTGTTTGTCTGTTACTGGTGTATAAGAATGCTTGTGATTTTTGCACATTAATTTTGTATCCTGAGACTTTGCTGAAGTTGCTTATCAGCTTAAGGAGATTTTGGGCTGAGACAATGGGGTTTTCTAAATATACAATCATCCACAAAATATTTTTATGCTTTTGCGACAGGATCTCACTCTGTTGCCCAGACTGGAGGGCAGTGGCATGATCTTGGCTCACTGCAGTCTCCACCTCCTGGGCTCAAGCCATTCTTCAATCTCAGCCTCCTGAGTAGCTGGGACTACAGGCGCGAGTTACCACTCCCAGCTAATTTTTGGGGGGTACATTTTGTAGAAATGGGGTTTCACCATGTCGTCCAGGCTGGTCTCGAACTCCTGAGCTCAATCCACCAGCCCCCGCCCCACAAAATGCTAGGATTACGGCCTGAACCACCAGGCCCTGCCAGTTTTTCACAAAATAAATATAACTACATTGCTGTTCTGCTTGAGAATTTTTGTAAGCTCCTACAAGTTAAAATCCAAATTATCTATTGGATATAAATGTTTCTTCAAAATCTGAGTTTGTTCTACCTCTTACCCTTAGATCACTAAACTTTATCCTTTGTTCTTTATTAAATCTTCAGTAAATTTCTTACAGTTGTCGAGGCACTGTGAGTCCTAGCACAACCCTGTGCTTTCATTTATTCTTTTTCTTTCCCTGGGATGTTTTTCTTTGCCTAGTTGGGTTTTTGATCCCTCTGCATGACTCAGCTGGAATGTCACCTTAATGGTGAAACCTTCCTCATCTTCCCTAAGCAGAATAAATTGCTTCTCTCTGTTAAGCCCTCAGCAGTAATTTATTATAGCACATATGACACATTCTCATTTGCCTGTTAACTTGCTTGTTTCCCCCAGGAGACTTTGAGAATCCCTGTCTTGTTTATTTTTCAATCTGTAGCACCTAGTATAGTGCTGGGGCATTGAATATATGTTGGAAAGCCAGATTTTCGGGACATTTAGGCATACCTATGTTTTCCTGTTGTTCCTTATTGATAGTTAAGTTAATAGCATTTTTCATTCTGTAGATCCAATTATAGCTTTCAAATTCCAGATAACTTTGTGATGTCTTAGTATATTTTGGTGACAGGTAATTTATAAAAGGTCTTCAAAGATAATAAATTCAGTATAGCATCGCAAGATGTTCTTTGTAAAGGTCTTTAAACCCAGTAATATTTCCATAAAATTATAAATGATACATTCTTGGATATGCTTTTTCTAGTCCACCTTGTACTGATTCTAACCTTTCCCTTTAATACTCCTCACAATCTGAGTCTGTGATAGCCATGCAGTCCTACAAAATTGTGGAATCAAATCATATAAATATTTGCCAAAGCACCCACTGCAAATACGACTGGGGACGGTGACTCACGCCTGTAATCCCAGCACTTTGGGAGGCCAAGGTGAGTGGGTCACTTGAGGTCAAGAGTTCGAGACCACCCTGACCAACATGGTGAAACCCTGTCTCTACATTAAAAAAGAAAAAAAAAATTGGCATGGTGGCACGGGCCTCTAATCTCAACTACTGGGAAGGCTGAGGCAGGAGAATCGCTTGAACCTGGGAGGTGGAGGTTGCAGTGAGCCGAGATCGAGCCATTGCACTCCAGCCTGGGTGACAGAGGGAGACTCTATCTCAAAAAAAAAATAAAAAAGAAAATGCAAACGAATTTAAAATGTCTCTTTTCTAGGTTCTTAGCAAAGATTACATGTAAGTCTGAGATATGCTTGAGTATCCTTAAGTGAATTTTGAATGAGCCTCTTTCATTTACTGTTTAGAACTTAGTTTAAAATTGAATATATCATAGTAACTCAAAAAGGCTAAACTCAGTACACTGATTGGAAAAATGTACAGTTTAAATTATATACCAACATGTTATGTTTCTTATTTTCCTAACTGAAATGTAAGTGATTTTTTAGAGCTAGAGCCAGGGAATGCCTCTTGTTTCTATTCTTTACTTGCAGAATTTAAATAGTTACGATTATTTGCCTCTTATGATTATTTGCTCCTTATGATTAAGGAGCTCCTTACCAAAGCAGCATCTACTCTTAGCTAAATTAAACTCTTTATTTCCAGGCCTGCCTTACATTTGCCTAAAGAAAATAGTTTCTCATATTACCAGATTTCTTTGACACATGTTAAAATTTATATAAATGTTCCAAGAGAGAGCATTGAAGTTGTGGAATGCTCTAGGTTTTAGCACTTATTTTTAAATTGCAGGTTCTTACAGTCAAGTTACATTTCTCTCATCTATTTATAACCAGGATTAAATCTTCTGGCGTATCTTTATCCTCTTGATAAATTTTAACACTCAAAGATAGGAAATCTTCAAAAATTTTTTATCATGTACTGGCCCCACAGGTAAAATAAAACTTTGAACATATTATCTAGAGTATGTCTGTTTATTTATAAACCATGTATGTACTATTGTTACTATATTATGAAACACAAAAGTAAGCCTTTGGAAAGGATGAGATAATAAAGGTAAAATAACAAATAATTCTAAAGTTATACTTACTAAAGGTAAAAATCTTTTGCCATATAACTAAACATTAAATGTGCTTTTTTTTTTTTTTTTAAATTATGGCTTAACATTTTAATGGTGTGGTTTCTAAGTTTACCTGATTTTAATACTTAATTTTAATGGCTCTCAGAACTGAAAGTTATAGCTGACAACAAATGTAGATCCAGGTGGAAGAAGGCCATAATTATGCTTATTAAATAATGATTTATTTTCAGCTGTAGATGTCTATCTATTTGCCTGTTAACTTGCTTGTTTCCCCCAGGAGACAATGGGTTAAAAATTCTTTCTTTTTTTTTTTTTTTTTTTTTGAGTCGAAGTTTTGCTCTTTTTGTCCAGGCTGGAGTGCAATGGCATGATCTCAGCTTACCCCACACTCCTCCCGAGTTCAAGCAGTTCTCCTGCCTCATCCTCCTGAGTAGCTGGGATTACAGGCAAGCACCACCACACCCAGCTTTTTGTATTTTTTTGTAGAGACGAGGTTTCTGCATGTTGGTCAGGCTGATCTTGAACTCCCGACCTCAGGTGATCCACCCACCTTGGCCTCCCAAAGTGCTGGGATTACAGGTGTAAGCCACCACGCCTGGCCCCAAGGTTAAAAATTCTTAGTTTCGAAGACTTTAGGTTAGAAAATTTTGTTTCTGAGACAGATTTTTGGCAACAAAATTTTATAACAATGGTAACATATCCAAATATTCACTTTCCAAAGGCTCCCTGTATTGCATGAAGATAGATATACTTGGTATCCTTAGGTGAACTTTGAATGAGCCTCTTTCATTTAGTATATAGAACCTAATTCAAAAAAGAATGAATAGGTACTTTCTCACTCATTTTTAAAATGTCACCTTTACCTTGAAGGAAAAGATTAAAAGACTGTGTGTGGTACTTTTTTTTTTAAAAAAAGAGTCTTGCTCTTTGCCCAGGCTGGAGTGCAGTGGCGTGATCTCGGTTCACTGCAAGTTCTGCCTGCTGGGTTCACGCCATTCTCCTGCCTCAGTCTCCCGAGTAGCTGGGACTACAGGTGCCCGCCATGTGTGTGGTACTTTTAAAAAATATGTTAGCATGTTACTGACAACTATTTATTATCACTGGAAAGATAAACTTGAAACTTCAATTTTTTGCTTCGATTTCCATGGTTTGTCTTGCCTTTGAATGATGGTATTTCTTCCCTAAAACAAAATTAAATTTTTCTGTTAGACTTTTTGAGAAAATTATAGTAGTTGTATTTTTAAAATTTTTTCTAAACTGAAAAATAGAAATGTGAAGGCAATTTAATAGACTGTTTTTAATTATTATTAAGGTTTTATAATTCTAAATGAAATATTTTTTTTAGGTTCAGTTCCAGAAGGTGTCTTAGAGGACATTAAAGGTAAAGTAAGTTCTCATTTTTGTCCCTTTCATCCTTAAGTGTTAGTTTGTAGGGCATATGCTTCTAAACAGTTAGACAGATAGAAAATATATTCATAATATAATATCCTAAAAGTATTTAATATATAGACTATGGGATACTCTTAAGTACAAATTCCAATTTTTTTTCACACTTAGGGAAGCTGTGGCATAGTGATGATGTGTTACTGAAGCAGCTTCTCAATTGTATAGAGTATACAGGGTTACCAGGGAACCTAGTATTTTGCAGTGTGAAAGAACAGTTAAATTGCTTAAGAAAGCTACTGGTTTGATTAGTATAATGTTTTTTACTCTAGTTTTCTTCATACATTTTTCTAAAACATTCTGAAATTGTGACCAAAGTACTACACGGTACATTGGATTCACCTAAGTGAGATTGCTTCTACTTTGCTAGAGTGAATTTCTATGATAATGTTCAAATTGGGTTTTCTGGTATTTTTGTTCACTGAAATAAAATACATTTAAAATATAATTTTCTTCAATACTTGGCATGTCATTAATGTTAATAATTTAGGATGCTTAATAGCTAGACAGTAATGGATTTCAGAGTTAAATGAGAGCCGGAGATAATCTAATACAGTTGGGGCTCTGAAATGTTAAGTTATTTGTTCAGTGTCACACAAGTAGGTAGGGTTAGAGCTACAGCTACAAAATATATCTTGCTTTCCATTATATTACTTAATATCTTTTATGTGTTTTAATTACCTAAATTCTTTTCAATTTGTTATAAAATATTAATCATTTGTACTGCTTATTACAGTAGTTCAAATAATACAGAAATATCTAAGGTAAAATGGTTTCCTTTCCTCTCTTCCATTTCTATCCTCCATGATATAACAATTGTTGACGATGTGGAATGTTTTCTTTTCATATGGCCTCCAACCTGTGAAAAGATGTTTAACTCTACCATTAGTCAGGGAGACATCAGATTGGCAAAAATTTGAAAGACATCTGGTATTAGTGAGATGGTAGGAAAATGAATGTTTATTATTAGTAGTAAGGATTGCAAACTAACCTTTTTGGAAAGCAATCTGGCATATTTATTAAAATTCAAAGTGTGCATCCCATCTAAAAAGGGTTATTGCATGAAGTTTGGTAACTTCATTATAAGGAATGTCATGTAGCTGTTAAAAGAATAGCTAGAGTATTGGTTTGGAAGAAGGTCCACAATGTAAAGGAAGAAAGCATGTTGCTGAAGGTATGTACAGTAGAAACCCTTTCTGTTAAAAACAAATATGCAGGCTGGGTGTAGTGGCTGGCCCCTGTAATCCCAGCACTTTGGGAGGCCAAGGCAGGTGAATCACTTAAGCCCAGGAGTTCAAGACCAGCCTGGACAACGTGATGAAACCCTGTCTCTACAAAAAATACAAAAATTAGCCAGGTGTGGTGGTACAGACCTCTAGTCCCAACTATTTAGAGGGGCTGAGGTGGAGGATCACTTGAACCTGGGATCTCCTGGTGGAGGCTGCAGTAAGCTAAGTTCAGACCACTGCATTCCAGCCTGGGTGACAGAGCAAGACTGTCTCAAAAGAAAACAAAAACAAAAACTAACATGCAGCATACACATATTCATTGTATTGTGTGATCTTGAATTGCGAGGCAGAGGTTGCAGTGAGCCGAGATCATGCCATTGGACTCCAGTGTGGATGACAGAGTGAAACTCTATCTCAAAAAAATAAAAATAAAACTACAAAAAATTAGCCAGGCATGGTGGTACCCACTTGTAGTCTCAGCTACTTGGGAGGCTGAGGTGGGAGGATCACTTGAATCCCAGAGGCAGAGGTTGCAGTGAGCTAAGATTGCACCACTACACTCCAACCTGGGCAAGGGAATCTTGACTCCATCTCAAAAACAAATAAAAGATCTCAAGGCTAGGTATTTACTTTGCTTAGATGGTCACGAGAACTTGAATAAAATATAAAACATACAAGTAGCTTTAGCGCCTGGCTCACTATCTAGCATAGTAGCATATTGTGGATTCTCAACACATGTGGTTTGAATTAGTGAATGAAATTCACTACATAATGTATTATGAAAAGAATTGTGTATAATATATATATCATATCAATATGCATTATATCATATATTGTGCATAATTCTTTTCATAATATATATGGCTAACATGCTTTACGAGTAATACAACCAAGTTGTCGAATTTCTTGCATTTAACATCAATTTTATCTCTACTTTAAAAAAAGTATTCCCTAACTACCTTGAAATAATTTTAAGCAGCTCATTATAAAAAATACTTTGCAATAGAATTTTTAAAAGAAAAAGTTTTCGACATGCAAAAAGTAAAGTGATATAGTAGAAAGAAAGCGGTAGCGTTAGGGTGTGCTAATGAGGAACAATCATTACAAAAAGCCCAAAACTAAGGAGTGTTACATTGCAACTAAGAGCAAAAATTGGCATTGTACCAGCCAGGCACAGTGGCCCGTGCCTGTAATCCCATCACTTTTGGAGGCCAAGGCAGGTGGATCACTTGAGGTCAGGAGTTCGAGACCAACCTGACCAACATGGCGAAATGCTGTCTCTACTAAAAATACAAAAATTAGCTGGGCATGGTGGCGTGCACCTGTAATCCCAGCTACTTGGGTGCCTGAGGTATGAGAATTGCATGAATCCGGGCGGTGGAGGTTGCAGTGTGCCGAGATTGCGCCACTGCACTCCAGTCTGTGCAATAGAGTGAGACTCTGTCAAAAAAAAAAAAATTTGGCATTGTGTTCTGACCAATCAAGATATTTATTAATTTTATTTCTTTTTTTTTCCAATTTCTTTTTGGTAACATCTTTTCACAACAAGATTCCTTAAAAAGAATCAGAGAGAGGGAGAAAGAAAATCTGGTTTAAAGAAATATACTATTCAGTTAGAATAGCTACTTTTTTATGATGGTAAAATTAACTTTTGTTGTGGTTCTCCTTATATAAGAGATGTCAAACAACAGTTTCTTTAAAGATGATTTTTTTAAAATGAGGTTTTATACAAGATGAATGTACAACATGTCTTATGACACCTTAGTCAATGAAAAAGGTTGTTTTTTTGTTTTGTTTTGTTCTATTTTGGTTTTTTTCTTTGAGACAGAGTTTCACTTTTGTTGCCCAGGCTGGAGTGCAGTGGCACGATCTCAGCTCACTGCAACCTCTGCCTCCCGGGTTCAAGCAATTCTCCTGCCTCCGCCTCTCAAGCAGCTGGGATTACAGGCACCTACCACCACACCCGGCTAATTTTTTGCATTTTTAGTAGAGACGGGGTTTCGCCCTGTTGGGCAAGCTGGTCTCGAATTCCTGACCTCAGGTAATCCGCCTGCCTCGGCCTCCCAAAGTGCTGGGATTACAGGTGTGAGCCACTGCACCCAGCCAAAACAGGTTTTTTAATGAACAAATTACTGTTAGCTAACTAAAGATGGAAATAGGGTTTATAAAATCCAAAGGAATAGATGATTAGCATGTTCACTTGAATAGAATTGTTTTAACTGGGGTGTAGGTTCACTCTGTTCAGTTGTAATCAACTAGTCATAACAAGGTCTCCTTTTCTTCCTTTAAGTGCGTACTTGCTTTGTAAGTGATCTGAAGCGAGGACTAAAAATCCAAGCAGCAAAATTTAATATTGATGGGAATAACGAGGTAAGTTTAAAAAAAAAAAAAAGCATCTTTTTGCAAAGGTTACAACATGTGTGGACTTATGTTTATGATATTTGTATTTCAGCGTCCCTCCCCACCCCCAAATGTTGACTATCCGTTAGATGGAGAGAAGATTTTACACGTCCTTGGATCAATCAGGTTAGATCTTAATTTTAATGAGCAAAGTAGTAAATGAAAATAAACTTTTGGCTTTTAAAAATATTTGTATGAGCCTTTATTTCACTATTGCCATTTTAACAGTTAAGTGTTTATTGTTAAGCCTCATTATTCATGATTTATTTTATTCAGCTTTTTTTTTCTTTTGAGACAAGATCTTGCTCTGTTGTCCAGGCTGGAGTGCAGTGGCACTATCTTGGCTCACTGTAACTTTCATCTCCTGGGTCCAAGCAATTCTGCCTCAGCCTCCCAACTAGCTGGAATTACAGGTGCCTGCCACCACGCCTGGCTAATTTTTGTATTTTTTAATATACACAGGGTTTCACCATGTTGGCCAGGTTGGTCTCAAACTCCTGACCTCAGGTGATCCGCCTATCTTGGCCTCCAACAGTGCTGGGATTACAGGCATGAGCCACCGTGCCCCGCCTATTCAGCTTTTTAAATTTTTAAAAATTAAAAAAAATATATTATCTCCTATTTATGAAGGTAATTGAGAATTAGTTCAATTCATGAAACTAGCCATTCTTTGAAGTGGGGCAGGAAGTATGACACTTTAAAATAGGGGTTAGCAAAATATTTTAGTAAAGGACCAAATAGTAAATAGCTCAGGCTTGGCTGGGCACAGTGGCTCATGCCTGGAATCCCAGAACTTTGGGAGGCTAAGGTGGGCGGATCACCTGAGGTCGGGAGTTCGAGACCAACCCGACCAACAAGAAGAAACCTAGTCTCTACTGAAAATACAAAATTAGCTGGCCATGGTAGCACATGCCTGTAATCCTAGCTACTCAGGAGTCTGAGGCAGGAGAATTGCTTGAACTCGGGAGACAGAGGTTGCGGTGAGCCAAGATCGCACCGTTGCACTCCAGCCTGGGCAACAAGAACGAAACTCCATCTCAAAAAAAAATAAAATAAAATAAATAACTCAAGCTTTATGGGCCAATATGGTCTCTGTTACCACTACTCAACTCTATAGTTGGAACACAAAATTAGCCATAGATAATATTTAAATGAGTGAGCATGACTGTGTTCCAGCAAAACTTTATTTGCAAAAACAGGTGGTGGCTGGATTTCATTCTCAGGCCGTATTTGCCGACTGCTGCTTTAAAACTTTTTGTTAGAAAGAATGCATTTTTCCAAATATACTCAGTCTTTAGGACTTAGTAATTCGCCATTTATTGATTTGACTATTCTGTCTGATGATCCAATATAAGTTGTTGTTAAGGACTTACATAATCATATTAGTAACAATATAACATTTGTTTATAACGCAACTTTATAAAATTTATATTGCAAAAGTTTCCTTGTAAAATATAAGGTCAGAAGATTCACAGAAAATTATTATTATGTAACATATTGAACATCCTATTAGGCTTTGAGTTAATGTAGAGCTTGAAGTATTGAAAGAATGAACATAAATACATGGAAGTTAAAGACGGTAGGACAGGGTAGCAAAAGAGTAAGAATGTAGTACTTTTTGCTAGCTATTTTTATATCATTTTAATCTCCTATTTAAGTTATGTTTATTAAATTACTTTTTAAAATTTTCTCCTGATTGTTATTGGATCTCAGTCTAAAGAAGAAGATAACTATTTAAAGAAATACAGAGACCAGGCATGGTAGTTCACACTTGGTTTTTTTTTTTTTTTTTCTTGAGACAGAGTTTTTGCTCTTTTCGCCCAGGCTGGAGTGCAATGGCACGATCTCGGCTCACTTCAGCCTCCTTCTGGGTGCAAGTGATTCTCCTGCCTCAACTTCCCGAGTACGTAGGCTTATAGGCACCCACCACCATGACCGGCTAATTTTTGTATTTTTAGCAGAGATGAGTTTCACCGTGTTGGCCGGGCTGGTCTCAAACTCCTGACCTCAGGTGATCCACCCGCCTCCGCCTCCCAAAGTGCTGGGATTATAGGCGTGAGCCACCGTGCCTGGCTGGTAGTTCACACTTGTAACCTCAGCACTTTGGGAGGCGGAGGTGGGAGAATATCTTGAGCCCAAAAATTCAAGACCAGCCTGGGCAGCATAGTTTGAGACCCTGTCTCTACAAAAAAAAAAAAAAGAAATGTTTTTTAATTAGCCAGGCATGGTGGTACACACCTATAGTCCTAGCTCTTTAGGAAGCTGAGGTGGGAGGATCACTTGAGCCCAGGAGTTTGAGGTTACAGTGATCTGTGATTGTACCACTGTACTTCAGCCTGGGCAACAGAGTAAGACCCCAGGATCCAGCCACTGCACTCCAGACTCGGCGACAGAGCGAGACTCCGTCTCAAAAAAAAAAATTTTTTTTGTAGAGATGGAATCTCACTCTGTTGCCCAGTTGGTTTCGAACTTCACTCAAGCAGTCCTCCCGCCTTGCCCTCCCAAAGTGTTGGGATTGCAGGCATGAGCCACCGCCCCCAGCTCCCCATCTCTATTTTCTTAAAGAAAAAAAGGAAATTCAATCAACATGGAATTGTTGGTTCCAAAAAAATAGGAAAATGCATTGCAAATGAAGGAAGCCAGTATGTCTCACATTCCAAACTCAATTAATTTGTTTACTAACGTGTTTTTTGTGTTTTGTTTGTGTGTGTGTGTGTGTGTGTGGTTTTTTTTTTGTTTGTTTTGAGGTGGAGTTTCGCTCTTGTTGCCCAGGCTGGAGTGCAATGGTGCAATCTTAGCTCACCACAACCTCTGCCTCCCGGGTTCAAGCAGTTCTTCTGCCTCAGCCTCCTGAGTAGCTGGGATTACAGGCATGCATACCACACCCAGCTAATTTTTGTATTTTTAGTAGAGACGAGATTTCTCCATGTTAGTCAAGCTGGTCTCGAACTCCTGACCTCAGGTGATCCGCCTGCCTTGGCCTCCTAAAATGCTGGGATTACAGGTGTGAGCCACTGTGCCCAGCCTAACATGTTGTTTCTGCCAAAAGGTATAGTTCCATTGAAACCTTCTAATTAGACACAATACTGACCAGTAGTTGGTTGGTAAAGCAAAAGAAGGGTTATTTAAAGTAAAGGACCATTATAAAAAATCATATACTAAACATTTTATTTTAACTTAAATTTTGTGTGTATTTATGTTTTTCCAAGACCTATTCTTTGAGGCTAAGTCTACTTATAGAGTTCTGACTTAAAATTATAATAACCAGTAAATCATAATTTATGATTTCCTGCTTTTTTATTCTTTTTATAAGTACAGTAAGAGCTTAAAGTTACTAGGAATCAGTCTTGGTACAGAATCCATCTAGTTGGCTGGGCGTGGTGGCTCATGCCTGTAATTTCAGCATTTTGGTAGGCCAAGGCGGGCAGATCACTTAAAGTCAGGAGTTTGACACCAGCCTGGCCAACATGGTGAAACCCCATCTCTACTATTTACAGAATCCATCTAGTTATTTTCTTCTAGACTTTTACAGTTGTCTCACCTATGTTACAAATATTTTTAAAAACTAACTTGTCGTTCCAAAGCTTTCACATTCATGGAAAGAACAACTTGTTTTCTACCTTAATATTTCATTGGTTAAGTAATAATTGTTAAGTTATATAATTTTAATATCAAATCACCTGACAAAAGATTTGGAAATAGAAGAGTGGATCTTTGTAAGCATGCAGCTTAACTGGTGGAAGAAGTCTGCAGGCATAGTGGCAAGGGCCTGACCAGCTATGCCCGTTCAGCATACTGTAGGCCTCAGTTAGTATACTTTAGTGGTGAAGTGGAAAGAATTAGCTAGTAGATTGAGTCTCATGAAGAGGATTTTGTTTTGAAAAGAATTTTTAAACGCTTTAAAATAGTTATGCATAATATCCCGATTTTATAAAAAATAGAGTTTATACCTGTATGTGCATAGTTAATTTTGTATTGTATTGGTTAGGATTTGGTTTGGCCACAGTTATACAAAGCTGAAAATAGTGTCTTCAACAAGTTAGAAGTTTATCTCTCATTTAAAAGAAGTTCAAGGCTGGGCACAGTGGCTCACACCTGTAATCCCAGCACCTTGGGATGCCAGTGCTGTTGGATTGCTTGAGCCTGGGATGCAGAGGTTGCGGTGAGCCGAGATTGTGCCATTACACTCCAGCTTGGGCAACAGGGCAAGACCCTATCTCAAAAAATGTGAAATTAAAAGAAAAGAAGTTCAGAGGTAGATCATCCAGGGATGATATTATCGTCTCAGAGACCCAAACATCTTTCCATCTGTCATCTTCGGGATGTAGCCCTTGTCCTTGAGGTCCAGGATGGCTGCTGGAGTTGTAGCTACCATGTTTTTGTTTCAAGCAAGTAGCCCTAAGAAGGGAAAGAAGAAAGTGCTTAACTCTTAATTAAAAGTCCAACATAGGCTGGGTGCGGTGGCTCATGCCGATAATCCCAACACTCTGGGGAGGCTGAGGCAGGCAGGTCGCTTGAGGCCAGGAGTTCGAGACCAACCTGGCCAACATGGTGAAACCCCACCTCTACTGAAAATATACAAAAAATTAGCTGGGCGTGGTGGCACAGACCTGTAATCTCAGCTGCTTGGGAGGCTGAGACATGAGAATCACTTGAATCTGGGAGGCTGATGCGAGATCACACCATTGCACAGGGAAGACTCTTTGTCTCAAAAGGGAAAAAAAAAGTCCGACATATTACTTCTGCCTCCATCTCCTTGTCTGGTAATTAACTACATCTAGTTGCAAGAAAGACTGTTGTTTTTTTTTTTTAAGAGATGAGGTCTCACTATGCTGAGACCAGTTCTCAGGCTGGTCTTGAACTCCTGGCCTCAAGCCATTCCCCTGCACTGCCTCAGCCTCCTGAAATGCTGGGATTATAGGCATGAGCCATTGCATCTGGCCAGAGGCTGGTAAATACAGTGTTTTAACTAGTGGGATGGGTTGGAGGCACAATATATCCAGCTTAAAAATTGAGTTTTATCTTATTTTCAAATCCTACAGATTAACAGGCAGTAGTAAAAGATAATACAGAGAGGTCCCATATACCCTTTCAGTTTCTCCCAATGGTTAAACATCTTATATAACTATGATATCAAAACTAGTAAACTGGCATTGGCATAAAGTATATGTTAGTTCTGTGTTATTTTATCATATGTAGATTTCTACAGTCACTACAACAATGGACATACAGAACTATTACCAGACAGAAAGAAAATTACTGCTTGATCTCACTTGTATATGTGGAATCTAAAAAAAAGTGAAACATCTAGAAACAGAGAGTAAAACAGTGGTTGTTAGGAGTTGAGAGGGGAAGGAAATGAGGAGAGGGTCAAAGGACACAAACTTGTAGTTGTGAGTGATGAATAAGCCTAGAGATCTAATGTACAGCATGAGGACTTTAGTTAGTAACACTGTATTCTATACTGAAATTTTGCTAAGAATAGATTTTGGGTGCTCTTACTACTTACGGAAGGTGATGGATAGGTTAGTTTGCTTGAATGTAGTAATTACTTCACTGTGTGTGTGTGTATATATATCTCAAAATATGTTGTATACCTTAAATATAATATATATAATTTTTTTAAACATATAGAACTCTTTCATCACCACAAAGATCTTCCTCATGCTACCAAAAAGTAATAGAGTTATTTTAATTTGAGAATAAATTGGAAAATAGATATTTTACTAAGCAACTGGTGATCCTTGTATTATTTTAAAAAAGAAATGGGGGGGGTGGTTGCTTATAAATCTCTTGTATCACCAGCTAATCTGCTTGTTGAATCTTATTATTATAGAATACTATTTCTTTTCTTTTCTTAGGTTTGGGGAGTTGTAATTGGACACAAAATAAATGTAAATGTATACATAATAATAGTAACAGCTAATAATTTAGGCAGACCCTGTTCTATTAACTTATTGCATCTTCACCTCAACCCCTGAGGCAGGCATTGTTATCCTTTCCATTTACAAATGAGAACAACTTGTATTTTAATAATTATTCTTTGTTAATGTAGTATTGGTACTTAAAAATACTATGTAAATGGAAATCATGGTATATTCTGTGTAATAATATGTGACACCAACAGAAAGCTCTCTTTTTCAAATCCCATTAGAGATTCAGTTGTGGAAATTCTTTTTGAACAAGATAATGAAGAGAAATCAGTTGCCACTTTAATATTGGATTCCCTTATACAGGTATTTTATCTTGTCAAAAAAATTCCCTTTATTATCACAGTCCTTTAAATAAAAATTTTAAATGTTATTTTAGGCAACTAGCAATCCTTGTCACATATTATTTTTAATATGTGTCAACAACTAATCTGCTTATTGAATTTTATTAATTTTTACAGAATACGGTCCTCTTTTAAAACTTTTTAAACTTTTATTTTAAAATGTTATAGTTCATGAGTTTTACTTTGGCACTGAGAAATGGCATCTACAGCATTCCAAACCCCAGGATAATGAGTGCCATGGACATGTGCTTATTTATTTATTTATTTATTTATTTATTTATTTAGAGATAGTCTCGCTCTGTCACCCAGGCTGGAGTGCAGTTGTGTGATCTTGGCCCACTGCAACTTCCGCCTCCTGGGTTCAAGTGATTCTTCTGCCTCAGCCTCCCAAGTAACTGGGATTACAGGCGCCCACCACCATGCCTGGCTAATTTTTGCATTTTTAGTAGATACAGGGTTTCACCATGTTGGCCAGGCTGGTCTCGAACTCCTGACCTTGTGATCCACCCACCTCTGCCTCCCAAAGTGCTGGGATTACAGGCGTGAGCCACTGTACCTGCCTTTTTTTTTTTTTTTTTTTTTTGACAGAGTTTTGCTCTTGTTGCCCAAGCTGGAGTGCAGTGGTGTGATCTCAGCTCACTGCAACCTCCACCTCCTGGGTTCAAGCGATTCTCTTGCCTCAGCCTCCCAAGTAGCTGGGATTACAGGCATGTGCCACCATGCCGGCTAATTTAGTGTTTTTGGGTAGAGATGGAGTTTCTCCATTTTGGTCAGGCTGGTCTTGAACTCCTGACCTCAGGTGATCCACCTGTCTCAGCCTCCCAAAGGGCTTGGATTACAGGCATGAGCCACCGTGCCCAGCGACGTGCATTCTTTTAAGAGTCAGGACCAGATTTTTATTTAGTACCTAGTGTGGTTTATGGTTCCTTCCAATTCAGGGTTGTATAGTATTCAATTTTAAATTCCACAGGACATATGGTAATAATATGTCTCTTTTTTTTAATGACTATGTAATTATAGGGCTTCGCATGAAATACCATTGCCTTGGAAGATATGTTTGCCTCTAGGGCTCCATTCATTGAAGGACCTTATCGTTGCTAACTCTTAAAGAGAACTGATGTAGAACCGTAATTTTTCTAGGAGTATTATCTTCCCACTTAACAACTGGCACTTGAATACACCTTGGAAAAACGAAATTTCCACATACTTCCCTTACCCCAAAAAAGAGAAGTTATTTCTTCTCATGCTCTTTGCCCTACTTAATCATTGCTACCCTGACAGTGAGAACACTCACATATTACTGCTGTATACCCTATGGAATGTAAAATCCTATGCTATTAGACTTTAAAATATTTTAAAGTCTTTTAAGTTTGTGTATATATTTGGCAGTATTTTTATGGTGGTTATACTTGCTTTGCTACATGAAAGAAACCTTGCCGTGGCCCTTTTTGTGATACAAATGATCACCTGTTTAAATCTGTAGTATTATAATAATAATATGTATAATCATAGTATATATAATATGTATATTTTCTTAAGTTCAGTCAAGCATTATTTGTACAGTTCAGAATAAGTCCTTCTTTTTTTCTTTCTTTTTAATAACAGTGTCCAATAGACACCAGGAAGCAACTAGCAGAGAATTTGGTAGTCATAGGGGGCACTTCTATGTTGCCAGGATTTCTCCACAGATTGCTTGCAGAAATAAGGTATTTGGTAGAAAAACCAAAATATAAAAAAGCCCTTGGCACTAAGACATTTCGAATTCATACTCCACCTGCAAAAGCTAATTGTGTGGCCTGGTTGGGAGGTAAGAATTTCACTTTTAAAATATAGTGATTATATAGTATTTGGTCTCTGAATGACACTATTAATGGATATATTAGAATAAATCATTCAGGGTTCAGAATTGCCCACTTGATAAATACAACTAACATTGACTTTTTCTTTCTTTTTTTTTTTTTTTTGAGACAGAGTCTCACTCTGTCACCAGGTTGGAGTGCAGTGGTGCGATCTGGGCTCACTGCAAGCTCTGCCTCCCAGGTTCAAGCAATTCTCCTGCCTCAGCCTCCCGGAGCGTGTCTAGGACTACAGGCGCGCACCACCATGCCCAGCTACTACTTGTATTTTTGGTAGAGATGGGGTTTCACCATGTTGGCCAGGATGGTCTTGATCTCTTGACCTCGTGATCCACCCACCTCGGCCTCCCAAAGTGCTGGGATTATAGGCATGAGCCACCACGCCCAGCTGACTTTTTCTTAAATTATATTAATTGTCAGAATTTTATATCTAATTCTCTTGGCATTTGCACTGTGATATTAACTTCCTCATTTAGTTAAAGTCATCCCTCAAAATAGTGAAAGCTATGAATTTATTCCAGTGATGGATGCTACCTTTTTTTTTTTTTTTTTTTTTTTTTTGAGACAGAGTTTCATCCTTGTTGCCCGTCCGGCTGGAGTGCAATAATGCGATCTCAGCTCACTGCAACGTCCGCCTCCCAGCCTCAAGCGATCCTCCTGCCTCCACCTCCCTAGTAGCTGGGATTATAGGCACCCGCCACTACGCCCGGCTAATTTTTTTGTATCTTTAGTAGAGACGGGGTTTCTCCATGTTGGTCAGGCTGGTCTCAAACTCGTGACCTCAGGTGATCCGCCCACCTCGGCCTCCCAAAGTGCTGGGATTACATGTGTGAGCCACCGTGCCCGGCTTACCATTTCTTAAAATGTTTATTTTAATGTCTTGCAAATTTAGTGAGCCACATATGAAAATTGGTCTCTTTATTTTATAACTGTATTTGTGGCTGAGTTCATTAAATGTTTTAAATAATGATGGTTTCACCGAAATAAGGAAATAATGTAATAAGTACAGTTGACCCTTGAACAACATGGGTTCGAATTATGTGGGTCCATTGATATGCTGTTTTTAGGAAATAATGTTGGAAAAATTTTTGAAGATTTGCAGCAATTGGAAAAAACAGACAAACCACGTAGCCTAGAAATATCAAAAAAATTAAGAAAAAGATATGTCATGAATGTATAAAAAATACATATGTAGATACTGGTCTGTTTATGTGTTAACTGACTATTCATGTTATTGGTAAGACTTCTCAGTCAACAGTAGACTATTGGTAGTTAAGTTTTGGGGGAGGCAAAAATTATACATGGATTTTTCAGGTGCTTGTGGGTGCACACCCCTAATCCCTGCATTGTTCAAAGGTCAGCTGTAACTACTTTGAAGGGAAAAACAATAATGAATATGTACATTTATATACGTTCTGATATATGTTTTATGATGCAGAGCTAGAAGGTATCAGGATTGTACATTCAGAGAGAAAAACAAAGTAGTGTGACATTTTAAAATGAATGTTATATAATTTCTTGTAAAATAGGATTTGGTATAAATGTAGTTTTGATCTAGGACAAATTGATTTAGTAATGGAATTGTTTTTAAAAGACTGCCTTGTGGGTCTTAATAAGGTCTTCAGTATAGAATGTTAGGACATTATGATGATGTTTATTGGGTTTTGCAGTACCATTTTATTTATTGATATGTAACCTTAGTTGTGAGAGAGAAAACTCAGAATCTTGTTGATTGTATTTACACAAAGTTGAAAATACCTTCCACTCCACTCTATCTAACTTGCTTTTAAATGCAATAATACTTGTTATCATGTTCACTCTTAACCTGCTAAAGGCCATTTCAATTACTTTAACACGGAGTTATGGCTTACTCTGTTATTCAAAATATAAAGAATAGCTTGACTGGAATTACTTTGAAGATTGTGGCAATGCATTGCTGAATTTTACCAATCCACTTTTGTCATGTAGTGAAGTAGATGTATATGTACATAAAGTTTTCTAGTAAAAGTTTTCATCTTAGCTATAAAAAATATTTTTGTCACACAGGGGCTATTTTTGGAGCATTACAAGATATACTTGGGAGCCGTTCTGTTTCAAAGGAATATTATAATCAGACGGGCCGTATACCTGATTGGTGTTCTCTCAATAACCCACCTTTGGAAATGATGTTTGATGTTGGGAAAACTCAACCACCTCTGATGAAGAGAGCGTTTTCCACTGAGAAATAGAAGTTTGATTAAAAAATCAACCTTGCTTCATATTAAATATTTAACCAATTATAAGCAAATTGTACAAAGTATGTAGGATGTTTTGTTACAGAGGAGTATAGTGGAAGTGAAAGCATCCTGTGTTTACTCTTTGCATTAATATATAATTATTTTGACTTTGTTTCTCTTGTGTATTGGTAACATGGTAGCTGGTGCTTACTGAAATCTGTTGTGTTAATATCAATAAAGTATAGTAAAGCAGTTTGATTTTGGAAGTTTGTTATGTGGCTTTTTTTTTTTTTTTTTTTTTTGAGACAGAGTCTCGCTCTTTTGCCCAGGCTAGAGTGCAGTGGCCCTCTGCTCACTGCAAGCTCCGCCTTCCAGGTTCATGCCATTCTCCTGCCTCAGCCTTCTGAGTATCTGGATTACAGGCACCGGATTCCAGGCGCCCGCCACCATGCCCAGCTAATTTTTTGTGTATTTAGTAGAGACAGGGTTTCACCGTGTTAGCCAGGATGGTCTCGATATCCTGACCTCGTGATCCACCCGCCTCCGCCTCCCAAAGTGCTGGGATTACAGGCGTGAGCCAGCGTACCCAGCCTATGTGGCTTGTTTTTCAAAAAGAAGAGTATTTCTCCACAGTTCACATAACCTGTTCTGGGCTCATTAATTTTATTTCCAGCAGTTACTCCATTTAAAGCATAAATAGTGTTAACAATTACCAGTTATTTCAAATACTAACATGGGTCCATTTAAAAAAATTATTTATTTTGGTGCTTGGGTGTCCATATTATAATAATGTTGTTTTTCCAGAAATATATTTGATCTTTGGACTGAGAATGTTTGGTAACATGGTCAAGCATTTGTTAAGCAAAGTGTGGAAATGTTCACTTTTTAACTTCATTTTTTTTATGAGCAATTCTACATTTCTAAGAAAAAAGATACTTCATTTTTATATAAGGTTACAACTGCTTTGTAAAAATGTATTCACAATGCCATTAATCTTTGTGTTTGTGCTTTATATCTTCTCAGGGCAGAGGTTCTTTGAAATATGTACTCAGTCATTTAACTTTTTATTTTATTTTTTCATTTGTTTTTAATGAACTACCTCTTGTTGAAATTTTGCTGGCTTCATTCTTTTGGGATACCTGTCTCCTCTAGTCCTACCACTGTTCCATAGCACTCTTTCCCTAAGCACAGAACCCATAATTGGGGCACTTCTAACTTTTACCTTGTCATCATTTCAACAGAGGTTTTATCTTCTTTTCTGGAATATAAGCTCCATTAGAACGAGACTTGTCTATTTCTTAACTTTGAACCCTCCCAGGAGGATTGCCAGGAATAGATATACTATTAATTGCCAATTGGATGGATTTACTATTTTATTAACATTATCTCTTTTTTCAGTAAACATGAACTTTACATTTATATTGACTTCATCTTTTGTTGAATTTAGATTATTTATGAGAAGTTTTCATCATTGAATAATATCAAAAACAGGATCTGTGACTGAAATAGAGCTTTAAAACTGGCTATAAAGTAGCAGACAACTAGTGGCTGAAGTTAAGGAATGTAGCCTTCTATTATGGTTTGAATTATGCCCCTCAAAAAGATAGGTTGAAGTCCCAACCCCTGTACCTTGTGAACGTGACCTTATTTGGAAAGAGTTGCAGATGTAGTCAAATTAAGACGTGATCATTAGGGTGATGCCCTGATCCAATAAGACTGGTGTCTTTGTAAGAAGAGGAAGCCAGTTGTGGTGGCCCATCCCTGTAATCCCAGCATTTTGGGAGGCTGAGGCGGGTGGATCACTTGAGGTCAGGAGTTCGAGACCAGCCTGGCCAACATGGTGAAACCCCATGTCTACCACAAATACAAAAATTAGCCAGGTATGGTCATGCATGCCTGTAATCCCAGCTACTCCGGAGGCTGAGGCAGGAGAATTGCTTGAACCAGGGAGGTGGAGGCTGCAGTGAGCCAAGATCACACCGCTGCACCCCAGCCTGGGTGACAGAGTGAGACCTTGTCTCAAAAAACAAACAAAAAAACCTAAGGAAAGGCATGCCTAACATATTCCAGGATTGATAAGGAGGCCAATTTGGCTCGTGTAGAGTGAGCAAGAAGAGAAGCAATAGTAGATGGGGGAGTGGGGGTATATCTTATAAGGATACATCTTAGTCAAACAGCATATCCTTGGAGTGTTTTGAGTGGAAAATTGACAAGATCTGGCTTGTTTAAACCGGATTATTCTGGATGTTGTGTTAAGAATAGAGTTTAAAGAGACAAATTGAAGCAGGAAAATCAGTTAAGAAACCATTGCAGTAATCTCAGTGAGATGATGTTTTTTAAGCCAGGGTGCTAGCTGTAAAGATGAGAACTGCTGGATTCTGGATACATGGAAGGTAGACCAACAGGATTTCCTGATAGATCTTACGTGGATGTTTCAGTTACCTATTGCTATGTAACAAACTTCTAAAAGTTAATGGCTTAAAACAATATGAATCCTATTTGCTTATGGTGGTGTGGGTCAGAATTCAGGCAAGACTCAGGTGAGCAGTTCTGTTCCATGTAGTATGAGCTGGAGATAGCCACCTGGCTGTATTTAATTGGTGTGCTGGGGTGGAAGGTCTAGGACAGCCTTGTTTACAAGTCTCAGTGTCGGTGCTCTCTTCATGCCTTCTCTGTCTTCCACATGCTTCTCTCCACGTGGCTGGCTTAGGCTCCCTCAGCATGGTGGTCTCAGGATACTGATTTATTACTTGGCAGCTTGGATCCAAACCCCATTGTGTGAGTTCTCCTCAAGACACTGTTTGCATCATGCTTTCTGTTGTCCTATTAGCCAAAGTTAGTCACATGGCCAAGCTCACAGTCAGTATGGCAGGGGAATATTGAAAGACACTTTCACAATGGGGTTGGAGAGATAGGAATCAATAATGTTTCCAGTATTGTTCATGCATCTAGAAGGATGGTGTTACCGTTAGTGGGGAAAAAAAGAAAAATTACATGAGAAACAAGTTTTGGGGCAAAGATCAAGAGTTTTTGTACACGTTTAGTATGAGTTATCTACCACACATCCAAATGGATATAGACGTTTGACATTTAAGGGAGAGATCTGGGCTCTCTTAAAAGTTTTGAATCAGCCGGGCACGGTGGCTCACACCTGTAATCCCAGCACTTTGGGAGGCCGAGGCGGGCGGATTACCCGAGGTCAGGAGTTTGAGACCAGTCTGACCAATATGGTGAAATCCTGTCTCTACTAAAAATACAAAAATTAGCCAGGTGCGGTGGGGGATGCCTGTAGTCCCAGCTATTCGGGTGGTTGAGACAGGAGAATTGCTTGAACCCGGGAGGCGGCAGTTGCAGTGAGCCGAGATCATGCCACTGCACTCCACTGCACTCCAGCCTGGGCGACAGAGTGAGACTCCGTCTCAAAAAAAAAAAAGTTGTGAATCATCAGCAAGTATCTGGTATTTAAAACTGTAAGATCACCAAGTGCATGAGTGTGGATAGAGAAGAGGAACAAGGACTCACCCATCCCTGAGCACTCCCAAGTGAAGAGATAGGAGAGAAAGGAAGTAGCTGGTGAGATAGGGGAGAAAACAAGAGAGCATTAGTGTCCTGGAAGCCAAAGGGGAGATGTGGATCCAGCATGGAGTGATCAAATTTGTAATAGATTTCTGATAGTCCAAGTAAATTAGGCCTTGCAGTTAATTTGATTTTGTGGAGATGAATGATGACCTTTTCATGTACAGTTTAGTAGACTAGTGGGGTGTGGCGGGAGGGGCAGGAAGTCATGACTAGAGTGGGTTGAGAAGAGCAAGAAGTAGTGCCTGACATCTGGGAACTAATCTAACACAGGTAAGCCTCAATGCTATTACAGATTGATATGATGCTTTCAGCAAACTATGCTTTTCTTCTGTTTTTCACATAACATACACTTCAGACAAGTTGGTCACTGTGCAACTCAAAACACCAAACATCCCTCTTGCTAAAGGAGTGACTGTTACTTTGTTTCACCTTTATCCCTCCTTTAGTCTGCCATCCTTATAGATTTCAGATCCTAGAATTGCCCTGGTTTTCTGAGAGCACACAATTCAGAACAAGTCCCTACTTACTGAGACCCTCCCCCAAATTACCCAACAAAAGCCAAGATCCTATAATCACCATCTTACTGAATCACCCCACACTTCTCCCTTGTTGCCATGAGTAATAAACTAAACGTATTTGACAACAGGTGTGGGGGTTTTCTGTTTTATTTTATTTTATTTTATTTTATTTTTTGGTCTATGGCTGAAGGGCATAGTCAGGGTTAAGAGGTGGGAGGGAGGGGAAACTTGAGCTTAGGCAAAAGGGGATGGGCTTTTGCTACAAAGGGGAACAGAGAAATAGAATGGCAGCCTGTGAGGAAAATAGGTCGAAGTTTTTAAGATAAATAACAGCATGTTTGTGTGTTGAACGGAAAAATCAAGAAAGGAGAAAAATTGATCCTTTAGTGGCGAGCTGGGGGATGACACGTGGAGGGTACAGGATCCAGTGCTTTAGGTAGGATTGGCTTCAGGTATGAAGGAGCATAAACCGTTCACCTACGTGTTCTGGTGGGTGAGATCCTGGAATGTGTCTGGCTGTGGCGGTTCGAGTGGGCAAGGACGTTCTGATGACTTCACAGTTTTCAGTGCAAAGGGGAGAAGGCGGAAACCTTTCCTCCCTCACATATCCAATTGCCTATCCAAATTTTCACATCTCAGTTGTTTTGTACGTCTTCAAAGAGCCTTTACTAGAATCTTAATTTCCTAGTATCCATTCCCAAGAAGAATGGAAGAAAACTTGATGTATGCACTGGTGGTATAAATCTCACTACAAAAAGAACTATTTTTCACTATATATTTCTTCAGGGATAGACTCCATATTGAGTGGAGGAAAAAGAAGGACACAGAGAGAGAGAAACAGAGAAGGATAAATTGGTTCTTTTTCTTCGGAGTCCTCAGGTGCCTCCAAATGTTTTTACATCCGGTCTCTTAAATTTTAGAGAAGCGGCCAAAATGTGGCGCTAATAAGTTTGTTAAGATAACAATTAAAACTGCCCTCTACCACCAACTATGCAAGTATGCATAGTAACACAAAAAACTAGTTTTCAACAGTGGGCATTTGGTTTCCTGTGTGTTTTAAAGAGAACACGGGGAGGGGACATGTGATTTCAATTGCACAGGCACGGTTTGTGACCTGTTTCGTTTACAAAAGGAGAACTTTTTACTGGAGAATCTGATTAATACTG